CTTTTTCACTTCATATGTAAAAGTCCACTGTCACATTTTTCTCACAAAATCTCAAATAAGACACTAAAATGTAAATGAAATCACATACAAATCTGTTACTTTGTACTAATTAAAATTTTCACTTAAAAAGAAAAATTCTGTACTTAAATCAATTAAATTTGTTAACTATTCATGATGAATAAACCTCTTATAATTGTACGCGTTAAACTGTTAAAAGCAAAACATCTTATTGTTTTACTATAGCAATGCAATATGCGCAGGCGTCTACTTATAAGTCAAACAAACATTTATTTGAATCAAATATATTTTTTATTTGCTACAAATATACTATTTCATAAATTGCAAATATATTTCTTTATTTTAGATTAATTAGTGCATTTATTTGAAATAAATATTAGTTTATTTATTTTAAATAAAATATTTATTTGCAACAAATAAATTTTTCTTAAATATACACTTTTAGTTAAAATAAATAACTTTTTTCTCTGGGTGTAGTGTCTAAAAATATACAAAAAAATTTTTTTTAGTGATTTTTCAAATAATTTAATAATTATTTTTATGAGTCAAAGGTAGTCATGTAAAGTTGGCACTACTTTTTTGGAAAATCAAAAATTTTACAATAGTTCTGGGCACTTTGGCAATAGTTCTAGAGTTCTCTAACGATTATTTAAATAGTTCTGATGATTAACAATAAAAAAAGCGACAATGAAAAATCATAGTGCTAACTTTGCATAGCACTATGATTTTTGCAAAAAAGAGTTCTGACCTAATATTCTAAAAGAGAATAAAGAGTTCTAGAGTTCTCTACCAAAAAAACAAGAGTTCTGCAAAATTTCAAAAGTTATTAACAAATTAAAAAAAGATATAAAAATAATATTTTGCAAGTTCTGAATAGAGTTCTGGCATCGTTGCGAAGAGTTCTATAAGTATGTCTAATGACATTTTGTTCTAAATCCAAAATCAAAAAAGTTACAGGACATTGAAATTTTCAAGAAATTTCAAAATTTTAAAATTCAGAGTTCTAAGAGTTCTGATTAGAGTTCTGGCATCGTCATAAAGAGTTCTATAAGTATTTCTAATGGCATTTTGTTTTAAATCCAAAATCAAAAAAGTTACAGAACTTTGAAATTTTCATAAATTTTCAAAATTTTAAAATTCAGAGTTCTGAGAGTTCTGAAAAGAGTTCTGGCATCATCATAAAGAGTTCTATAAGTATTCCTAATGACATTTTGTTTTAAATCCAAAATCAAAAAAGTTACGGTACTTTAAAATTTTCTTACAATTGGATTTTTTGTATAGAAAAAAATGTCATTAGAAATACGTGTAAAACTCTTTATGACGATGCCAGATCTCTAATCAGAATTCTCAGAACTCTGAATTTTAAAATTTTTATATTTTTTGAAAATTTCAATGTCCTGTAACTATTTTGATTTTGGATTTAAAACAAAATGTCATTATGAATACTTATAAAACTCTTAATGGCGATGCCAGAACTCTTTTCAGAACTCTCAGAACTCCGAATTTTAAAATTTTGAAAATTTATGAAAATTTCAAAGTTCTGTAACTTTTTTGATTTTGGATTTAAAACAAAATGCCAGTAGAAATACTTATAGAACTCTTTATGACGATAACAGAACTCTAATCAAAACTCTCAGAACTCTGAATTTTAAAATTTTGAAAATTTCAATGTCCTGTAACTATTTTGATTTTGGATTTAAAACAAAATGTCATTAGGAATACTTATAGAACTCTTTATAATGATGCCAGAACTCTTTTCAGAACTCTCAGAACGCCGAATTTTAAAATTTTGAAAATTTATGAAAATTTCAAAGTTCTGTAACTTTTTTGATTTTGGATTTAAAACAAAATGCCAGTAGAAATACTTATAGAACTCTTTATGACGATGGCAGAATTCTAATCAGAACTCTCAGAACTCTAAATTTTAAAATTTTGAAATTTTTTGAAAATTTCAAAGTTCTGTAACTTTTTTGATTTTGGATTTAAAACAAAATGTCATTAGAATTGCTTCTAGATCTCTTCGCAATGATGACAGAACTCTAATCAGAACTCTCAGAACTCTAAATTTTAAAATTTTGAAATTTTTTGAAAATTTCAATGTCCTGTAACTATTTTGATTTTGGATTTAAAACAAAATGTCATTAGGAATACTTATAGAACTCTTTATGACGATGGCAGAACTTTAATCAGAACTCTTAGAACTCTGAATTTTAAAATTTGAAATTTTTTGAAAATTTCAATGTCCTGTAACTATTTTGATTTTGGATTTAAAACAAAATGTCATTATGAATACTTATAAAACTCTTTATGATGATGCCAGAACTCTTTTCAGAACTCTCAGAACACTGAATTTTAAAATTTTGAAAATTTATGAAAATTTCAAAGTCCTGTTACTTTTTTGATTTTAGATTTAAAACAAAATGTCATTAGAAATACTTATAGAACTCTTTATGACGATGCCAGAACTCTTATCAGAACTCTTAGAACTCTGAATTTTAAAATTTTGAAAATTTTAGAAAACTTCAAAGTCCCGTAACTTTTTTGATTTTGGATTTAGAACAAAATGTCATTAGACATACTTATAGAACTCTTCGCAACGATGCCAGAACTCTATTCAGAACTTGCAAAATATTATTTTTATATCTTTTTTTAATTTGTTAATAACTTTTGAAATTTTGCAGAACTCTTGTTTTTTTTGGTAGAGAACTCTAGAACTCTTTATTCTCTTTTAGAATATTAGGTCAGAACTCTTTTTTGCAAAAATCATAGTGCTGTGCAAAGTTAGCACTATGATTTTTCATTGTCGCTTTTTTTATTGTTAATCATCAGAACTATTTAAATAATCGTCAGAGAACTCTAGAACTATTGCCAAAGTGCCCAGAACTCTTGTAAAATTTTTGATTTTCCAAAAAAGTAGTGCCAACTTTACATGACTGTCAAAGGTTGACTCCTTTGAAAATGCACGGGTGAACGGTCGCAACGATAAATTTATTTAGTATCGTCTGAAATAAAAAAATCAAACGTAGTTTTACTCAGTAGGCTTACTGTTATCGTGTGAACCTCAATAAACAATTTATCTTTTTAAATAACAAAATGGCGGACTGTTAAAAAAAAATTTCAAAAATTGCTTGTTTTTTCGTAAGTAATTGTTTAAAAAAAATAGGAAAATGTTTATGTAAAATCATGACCGAGGTTCACACGATAGCCACTCATGTGTAAAATAATGCCTCCAAATTGCAGACCGATCGGTTAAATAGATTTTGAGTAATCCTTGTCACCAGTTTGAAAAAAGTGGTTTTGAGAAAAACGCGTTTAAAGGTTTGGTAGCTGTAGCTCGCGACCGTGCACTGTTTAATTCTACGCGCTGTAACTTTGTTAATTTTTCAAATATCTGTCTAAAACTTTTACACGATAAAAAAATAACGATATTGTACTTTCGAAACATGCAAAAAAAATTGATTTTTTCAAACCGTCACATAGGAAAAGTGCCTTAAGTTGACAAAATCAGTTTTTTTGAGGTTTTTTGAGGATTGCTATTTTCAGTGAAATTTTGGACAAAAAAGTTGTTATTAAAAGTTGTAGAGCTTAAGAATATCTAACTAATAAGGGGTCGCACGGTATTTTTCAACAATTTGTTTACGAGTTACCGAATTTAAACGATAAAATCCAAACGATTTTTAAATATTTAATAATTGATTTAATTGTTTTTTAATTTAATCTATCTTTTCCTTGGCAAAATTACTGCCCTTGAGGCCCTTAATAAGTATACAAAATTTCGACCCAATCGGATTAATAGTTTTTCCGATTCAATCTAATTGTTAATTAACAAACTTTTTGTTTGCATTGAATGTCAAATCTGTGAATCATTAAAAAAAATGTTTTGGAAGTCGCATTTTACTCTTAAGGATCTGTATTATTAATAACATGTATTGTAGAATTAAAAAAAATTTTATTGTCAAAAAATAACTAATAAAAAAAGGTCAATTTTTTCACTATAAACAGTTAAGCATATCTCGATCAAATTTTATTTTAGGAAATCGGGATAAAAGCTTCTTAATTCCTTGTATCTTCCTGCAACTTTTAATAACAAAATCATTAATCTAGCTTAAAGGGTATTTGAAATAACTTTTTTTTGCAATAAAATCCAGACAATTTGTTTATTAACCTTTTTAAATTTTTTTTGTACAGATTTGAAGATCGAAATCTGTAGTTTAATTTAAAAAATCATGAAATTTATCCATTAACTATTAATTATTAAAAGAAGAAGTGAAAATCCAAGCAAGAATTTATCTTAATGAAGCGCATCGAGAGGTGATAGGAGCCGAGCGACACGCGACACAATAGGATTTTTTACAATTTTCTGTTCAAAAATGTCTACAGCCTACAATTTTTAACCGATTTGAGTGTTCTTTGTTTTAAATTAAAGAGGAATAAATTCTTAAGACATCCCTCAAGGCCGATTTTTCAGATTTTAATTGTTTATAATTTTTTATTTTAATCAAAGTTAAGAAATTAATACAATTTTTTTAAAAAGGACGTTTATTTTCTTATTCCGTTACTGGACATGATAAAAATCAGTTCAAATTAATCCAATATGACCACCAGACATAAGTATTTCTTTTAAATATTTTGATGCACTATCGATTAGTAAATTTAGCTTCCCAATAATTTAAAAATTTGACCTTAATTTTAAAAAATTAGCATTATCAAATTTTGGAAAATATCGAATGGAAAATATTTTTGACTTCATTACTACCACAAATGAAAATAATTTTTCTATAAACAATGCCCAATGTTCGTAAAAATGTTCTTCTCTACTTAGTGTAGCAAGTAAAATAATGAATTAATTAAATTGAAATTTAAGGATCAGAAAATATGAAACTTTTTCCTCGACTAAAAACAGGAAAACTTACTAAATCAATTAATAATTCTAAATTTATTAAAAATAAATGTTTAAAAGGTTATTTATCTTCTCTGTTTAGAGTCCCTACTTCTGTAGCATGTTTTCTGGATCCTGGAGGGAAACAAATGAAAAAGTGATTAGCATTCCAATTGCTGACTCAAACATCACTTTAGATTGTAAGTAAACTCTCATATTTATTTATTATTTGCATTCATTCAAAACCTTAGATCTAAATTAAACACCTTTTTATGTTTATCTTTTTATTTATATAATTTATTCGAGTCTTATATTCTGTCAAATTTTTAATAAATAAAATTTTTATTAAATACAAACAGATTGCATTAAATTTGATTTTTGTTCAATCAAAGGAATGCTTAATTTTTTAAATTTGAAACAGAAGAGAATGCTTTAAAGTGAAAGTACGTCTTCAGTCTAATATTTCATGGCTAAGATTGTACTTCATTGACCTACATTACATTTACCTATATTTGGTAACATCTTAAAGCTTGAGATGTAAGTAGTCATACTTTGATTTTTAAAGAAAAATGTACTTGTATTAGGCTTTTTAAACATATATTTTTAATTAATTTCTTTTCAATTTTTCATTTTAAAAATACTGTTTTTTACTTAAAAAGAAACTAAAAGATAAATAAAATAAATATAATGTGTATATCTGATAAGTAAAATTGGTTTTTAATATAAATTATTATTGGAGATATAATTGAATATCAATCTAACCTACAGTATCTTGATTGATAAGGTTTAATTAATTTAATAAAGAAATGGCCTTCTTTTAATTGTTCAAAACAGATTTAATCATTATTTTTTTATCACTCCATTTCTCTAACTCCATTAATCTTTAAGGGTTCTAACTATTCTTGGAATTTTTATAATTATTAAAATGTATTTCGGGGTCATTCATTACGAACACGGAGAAAAATGGAAAAATGATTTATGCAGTCAGTGTAGTACTCCTTTATAGAATAATAAGTGACAGGTACACACTATAGTATTAGAAGTTTCATAGCTGAACAGTTTGGGACTCAACACAAGTTATCCCATTCATCAGCTCAAACAAGATTGTGTTCACACACACACACACACACACACACACACACACACACACACTAATGGTCGTTCACTTATCTTACCGTCTCACTTACTCTTATTACTTTCAACTATTATGCAGTGCAGTTAAGTTAATTAAATTATTGAATATTGCTGTGAGAATAATTGAGGGGACGGCTTCTAAAAGGGGATACGCGTGGATTCTCACGTATAAGTATTGACGAATAGTGTGATTTTAAAACATTTTCAATTTTCAAATTCAATGAAATAAATTTATACACAATGAAAATGCGCATCTTTTTTCTTTAAGAAATAAATTTATATCTTTTTTAGTTTATAAAATAATGAGAAAAAACTAAATTTTTGAAAACCAAAAAATTTAAATGTTTTACGTCTTTAACTCGTGCTGGTGTTTTTGATTTTTCATATTTTGTAATCAAACAAAAACAAACTCACAGATTAAGGTTTCCTGAAACCAACTATATTTTTAAAACTTCAAAATCTTAATTAATAAAAAGTTTATTAATTTTTTCGAAAGACATTGCAAAAAATGTTTTTTTTCAACTTTCAACGCTTCGTTTATCTAGGAAATTTCAAGGTACGAAAAACTTTCAGTGAGAAAGTTTTTTATTACGATACGGACAAGTTTTTTCTAAAATTTTATTAAAATGATATGGATATTTACAAAGTTATTAATGTTTAAAGCGTATGGTGCGTCAGATTTCTTGCGCCTGGAACGCATTGAGTACCGAATTGTTCGTTTGCATGGAACATATTAAGACTATTTTAGTTTATTCATTTGTTTACTTAAAATAAATACAATTTTTATTAGAGTCACTGATAAATTTTTGCAATATTATTATTATTAAGAAGTAACCAATAATAATTAGCCAAAATCGTCTGGAAATAGTTAAAATTTACTGACATACAAATAATTAGTACACAGTTATTTTGACATAAATGTAATGTTAATTTAACTAATAAAAGTTTATTAAGAATAGTAAAAATATTATTATTTTAATTTTTGACTGGTTTTTTAATATCAAAGTAATTATTTTTAAATAATATTTAACTATGGATTATGACGATTCATCTAACTTTATATAACAGTAGCATCAGTTTATTTATTCTAACATGTATTGTACGTAAAGATATATGAAATTATTTTTTAAAAAATATTGCAGAATTATTCGCAAAATAAATTGTACAATAATTCCATATTGTATTTAATACTTGAAGTTAAAACAAATTTTATTTTATTTATATCTGTATTTTGGCAAACATTTTCATACAATAGATTTTTTTTTGTTATCATGTGCACTTCAAGGAAGTAACCCTTTTTTATATGCTATTTTTCTCAAAGTTGTCATTTGTTTTCACTCTACGGAAAAATATGGTGTCCAGATGAGTCGCGGTTGCCGCGACCGTTGACTGCAAAAAAAAGGGTTCGGTAAAACCCAATACAATTTTCCCAGGATTTCGAGATTTTTTTATCACAATTAAGGAAATCGATATCTTCCTCCAAACGGACAGGAGTTTTTTAATAATTATTTTAAAAACATTAAATGTAGTAAACGAGATCATTTTGACGAAGAGTGGAAACCTTGAACTAAATGAAACAAGAAACTTAAAAATAAGAAATATTATTTTAGTTGACTTTTGTACATATAACAAAATAAAATATTTAGGTTAAAAATAAATTTCAATAAATTTTATTATATATATTGACAAAATATTTTTAACGCGTTGCAAACGAACAATTTGGGACTCAATGCGTTTCAGGCGCGAGAAATCTGACGTACCATATGCTTTAAACATTAATAACTTTGTAAATATCCATATCATTTTAATAAAATTTTAGAGAAAACTTGTCCGTATCGTAATAAAAAACTTTCTCACTGAAAGTTTTTCGTACCTTGAAATTTCCTAGATAAACGAAGCGTTGAAAGTTGAAAAAAAACTTTTTTTGCAATGTCTTTCGAAAAAATTAATAAACTTTTTATTAATTAAGATTTTGAAGTTTTAAAAATATAGTTGGTTTCAGGAAACCTTAATCTGTGAGTTTGTTTTTGTTTGATTACAAAATATGAAAAATCAAAAACACCAGCACGAGTTAAAGACGTAAAACATTTAAATTTTTTGGTTTTCAAAAATTTAGTTTTTTCTCATTATTTTATAAACTAAAAAAGATATAAATTTATTTCTTAAAGAAAAAAGATGCGCCTTTCCATTTTCCACAAACTTCGGTAATTCAAATTGCAATTTGTAATACTTTCAAAAATTGACCAAGTGGACAAAACTTAAACGCGAGAATCCACGCGTATCCCCTTTTAGAAGCCGTCCCCTCAATTAATTATACATTTCATTCAAGGTCAATTCACTATTTTGTACACGAAAAAAAAGAATAATCAAATTTACCATGAGGACTGTCAAACTTGAAAAAGGTTAAGAAAAAATTAATTTTTTTTATTTATTTATTATTAAATTCTTATAACCGTATCAAATTTAAAGTACACTGTAAAAAGGGGTGTTGAATGAAGGGAGTTAGAAATTAACTCTCTTTTGGAGTTGACTTTTAACTCGAAAAATTTCACTCCCAACTCCCGAGTCCGTTAACTCCCTAAATTTTTTACAGTGTAGTTGACAATATAATTTATTCAATATTATGAATATTGTTGACATCCATACTTACATTAATTACAAAGTAAAATCCACGCATCATCTAATTTATTTCATTGGTAAGGGATGTTTCTTAAATGGGAAATTTCCCCCATCGATTGCGTAGCCGAGAGGCTTAATGTAAAAGCGTGCGATTTATAATTATGCGTATATTTAGTTGTATGGTTAGGTAGGTGTTCAATCCCGTATGATTGAAAGATGTTCCGATGCATTGAGTTCTTAATTGTAAGTATGAAAATGTATGAAGAATAAAATTTGTGAATTAATGAATATGAATATATAAAGAGTGCATTTAACATATTTTTCTTTTTTTTAATGATTGGTTATTGTTTTTTTATATAAAATTGACTAAGTGAATACAAGGAAACACTCGTTTCGCGTCGCGTCGGCCATTTATTTTGACAGGTTCCGCGCCTGCGTTCCTTTATTGTGAAAATTTCGAAGTAGGGGACTGAGTCCAGTTTCTCTACTATGCACACTGCAGCGCGCCTTATAATCTTCGCCTGTGTTTTAATGCTCTTTACAGTGACATTTGGAACTAAGGCCCTCTATACACTATACGCAACACCCTAAGATGCTTGATGGAAATGAATTAATGTACTTTTACTGGACTGAGTCCTGTTTTTTCAATATTAACTCCCAGTTTTTCAAACTCCATTTTTCTCCGTGTAGAGGACAATCCTAGTTTTTATTTAGAATTGTTATTATTGTTTATTTATTTTGCGATATAAAGTGAAACAAGTTGTTCATTTCATGACCATTTAGCTTCCTTAATATAATATATACCAATTGCTTGATTTTTTATTATAATATAGGCTGATTCTATTTCAATCCATGCAGGGCGAATAGGTTAAAAATTCTAAATCAAGTTAAAGGTAATTTTTCTTGTTCTTTAGGACAAACAAAGAGACACGTATTTTTTTATTTAGCAAAAGAACATTTTTTAGCTGAGTTATGAGTGTTTAAAAATTTCAGGATATATCGTGATTTTATACACGGAAAAAAAAGTTCACGAATCTCTCGTGAACTAGTATATCACTTTTGGATGGGACACAAAATTTCAAAATTTTCATTCACTTTTGATTAGAAATGGCGAACGTCAACGAAAAACTGAAACAAAGTTAATGAATTTTTGATGAACTGTTAATGAAGAGTAGTTCGTCAAAAGTAGAGGTACAAGTTCACGAAAAAATCGTGAACTCGCGAGTGTCAGTAGTATGCGCAGTTCGTAATGCGCATCAAATATGGCTGATCAAGCATTCATCATTCAGTCGGTGTCATCGGTGTTTACATTCGGGAAAATTCTTTGATGAAAGTTATTATTTAGAATTAGTGTTTTTTATTACTTAGTGAATATTTTTGTTTGCTAATTTCCTTTGTGAAACAAATAATTCGTAAAATGAATTAAAAGTTACGATAAGGGACTTTT